AGACACCTCAGCTTGAGAATAAAGGACTAAGGGAAGTGAGGTGTGGGAGAATAAAACTGAGCTCTGAAGAAATGTTTGGCTAGAGTTTCCCCTACAATATGTACCAGTTCCGACTTGCATACAAATTCAACTTAAGAACAAACCTACAGTCCCTATCTTGTACGTAACCCGGGAACTGCCTGTACTTGTAATAGCCTGGTAGCACTTTAAAGACTAACAACACATGTAGACGGTATCATGAGCTATCGTGGGCGCAGCCCACTTCGATTTGTTGGTTTTTAAGTTTATCCTGTACAGACTAAGGGTACGTCTACATTACATGCCTCTGTCGGCAGAGGCATGTAGATTTGTTTGTTTCCCCAGCATGTATTAACATAATCATGCTTCAAAAAGTATTACATTAACATGAAGTAGGGACTTTTAAATGTGCACCAGCAAGGTATATGTGCACTAGTTAGTGCACGACAAGCGGGTGCACATTAGATTTTCCACTCCCTTAATGCAGCCTACAGCATGATGTAGATAAGCCCTTACACTATAAAATTCAAAGAAAATATGAAGAGACGGCATTGTAGCAACTGGGAAACTTCTCCCACTGCACTTTTGACTACACTACACACTCCACTTGACTAGACAAGGTAGCACAGCTATCTTTGTAAGATTCAGAAATGCAGGCTCTAATTATTTTATCAAAATGAAATACTAGTAATATTATTTTCCCTTTACAAAGTAACAGGAAAAACAGGGAATCTCTAGCTTCTAGGATCCTGTGCAAATAAAAAGCATTTATTGCACTATGTATATTTAGCAACATCTGTATCTTCCTTTCAAAACAGGGTAACCTGCACTGATTCAAGTTAACATATATTGTGGAACAGTGCAACTGTATATCAGTGTAGCCCAGTGATTCTCAAACTGTGGTCCATGGACCATGGCTTGTGCACAGCTCTTCCTCTCTCCCTGAAGTGAGGAGCCCATGGTGGAACTCCAGCCTCGACCAATTGCCCCCCACAAGGCTGGAGCACCAGCTCCGGCTTCCCACGGGGGAGAAAGGGAGGAGAAAGAAAACCCCAAACCTCACCGCCGGATCCAGCTCATGGGGAAGAAGAAGAGCAGAAGTGGCTGCATGTGCTGTGGCTTCCCCTCTTCCAGCTGGGGAAACAGCAGGACATGGACGTGCTGCCTGGAGGCCGTGCCTGGGAGTAGAGGATGGCACAAAGGCAGGTACGTGCCACTCCTTTCTGTCATGCCCAGACCTCACACCCCACCACTCTCACACACAAGACTGCCAAGACCCAAAATCCCCAGCTTGCTCCTGCATCCTCCCTCCTGGCCAGACTCTGCACCCACCCTTAGTCCTGTACCCTCCCACTGGCCAGTTACCCTACTCCAGCCTGCTCCTAGCACCTTACCTCCTGAACCCCACCTCCTGCCCAGATCCTGAACCCCCTTCCCTACCTCAGTTGTTGGCACCCCAGACCACACACTGAATGCTCATTCTGGAGCCACTCCAGAGCCTAGGAGCATCCACAAAATCCAGAAGCCCAGCAGAATTAATCTGGTTTATGGGAAGTCCTGAACATCAGTCCTCCCTGTCTCTCTTCACCCCCGTCCCCATGGGGCTGGAGCATCAGGGGAGTGAGAGGTCTCAGCTGGGGGCCATATCAATGAGGGTTGGGGAATTTTGTAGTAGGCAGGTTTGTGTGTGTTGTTGGGGTGTGTAAAAATTAATAGGTTTGAAATGGCCTTATACATTAGTAGTTCAGGGTTTAGCCACAGCATTACCCGTAAACATGCTTTTTCCTTTTATTTTTGTAGTTTGGGAAGATAGGGTCTGGTCGAGACCAATATTATCTTTTGATATATAAACTTGCTCCCTGCCTCTATTCCATAGCCTAGAAAACCAAATAAGTATAGAGTTGCTCTATTTTGTTATGTCTCTTGTTTATCCTCATTGGCTCTGCATAATGTATCTTCAGGATCAAATTCCTTGTAATCTCTGTAATTTGTTAGTTTGTAGTTTAAAAGTGTTGATTCAATTAGAAATTATATAAATAGTAATTAGGGGCAGGTATAATTGTATTAATTATTTGCTTATTAATATTCATTTCATGGGAGTTAACTTTACTAAATAAGGCTTTAGGAAAAGTAGTGAAATTTACATACTAAATTAGATAAAAGGGTGTAATTGGCACTAGGTTGTTGCCACTTGGAGACATTGTGTTGAATGTCCGAGGTAAATGTGTGTAGGCAATAAAGCAGTTCCTTTTACCCTATCTGTTCCTGGGTCACCTGTTTCTTCTCTAACATGTGTGTGTGGTCCCTGACAAATTTTTCTGTGAATCAGGGGTCCCCAACTCAAAAAGGGTTTCCTGCCCCTGCCATAAACAAAGACAATGTTGAAATCTTTTGAGTTGAACATAAATTAATATTTTATTTGATTTAAAATGAAGTTTAGTAAACATGAGAAAACTGAAGTGCTTACTCTGTTTAATAATTTTGATTAATATTTCCGTTTTTTGGTTCAATTAAACCATTCTCCCTAGCTGCAGCACTAGCAAAATGGCTCCAGCGTAATTATATAATTAATGGTGAGTTTCCATGAGCAACTTGTGGTTTGTAGAAAGGTTTATATTGAACAGGGTGGGTCACAGGCCAAAATGTTTGAGAAAGTTTGTGCAAAATTCCCAGCACAGACAACCCAGAGGTTATGGATGACTTTATCCTACTGAATGACCAGAATAAGGAACAATGATAGTCCAGTGGCACCTTAGAGACTAACAAATATATTATGACTTTTTAAAGTTACACACTAACATAGCCACCCTTCTGAGACAAAATAAGAAAGTACGAGCAGGAAATCAAGAGCTAACTTAAATTGAGATGATCACCACTTAAAAAAAAAAATCACTGTTTAGGATAATGTGCAATGGGAAAACTACTATTTGTTCAAAAGAAGGTCTGCACAAGGGTTTGAGAACAAGAGCTTGAAGGAGAAGAGGGACGGAGACCTAACATAAGGTTGTCTTTTTTTACACTGCCTTGAAAAATTGAAAGCCTTTTGCTTTTTGGTCCCTGGTTCATATATTTCCCAGTTCGACTGTAATACAGGCATTACAATATGACAGCTGTTTGGTGGCATTCAATATAAAATACATTAGTAGTGTCAGTCCAGTTTTGAAAAGAGCTAGATGTAAAATAATCAGATCGCTCATGCTGTGCTTATATACTTACTAGCTTTAGGCAGCAGTTTCTGACAGAATGTGCCATACTATGAATTCTATAAATACTTCTGCTGTCAGTTGACTTGCATATTTGTGTGCTTTCCCAGTACACCACCTATAGCTGGTTCCAGTGTGATTAAGTGCTAGAGGTAGAAATGTTGTTGCCTCAGTATCTCTGCTTAGGTGCTTCTGTATTTGAAGCTCCAATGTTATTAGTAGCTAGAGCAGCATGGGAGTTCAGCAGACACTGATGTTATTCAAAGGAAGACCACAGGCACGGCTCATTAACAAAGGCACTTGGCCAGGTTTATTGCCATCAAGACATAGTCCTAAGACTTGATTCTGTGGTTACAGGTTTGCTAATATCACTGCCCTGTGCAAGGAACTGCTCAGTCAATGGTAAGGATGTAAAATCTTGTTTAATTAGTTAAACCATTTAAACATAACATTTAACCAGTTAATTGATTAAATGGGGGTGGGCTGGAGTGGTCCTCACTTTCCAGGCAGGGACTGCTCCAGCCTGGCTGCTTATGACCCCATGCTGGGCTGCTGCCTCCCAGCCTGCGCGTGCTGGAAAGTGGCAGCATCATGCAGAGAGAGAAGCAGCAGCCTCCTCCTCTGCCCCCGTTTCCACTTCTAGGCATCCCCTACAACTGTGGCAGATCATGGGCTGTTCCTGGCAGGGGAGGAGGGCAGAGTTTCTTCCCTGCCTGGACCAACCCCTTGGGTGCAGGCTGAGGCTCCAGGCCTGGGGTAGGCAGAGCCCAGGCCGGCCAAGTGCAGAGGGGCACTGCGGAAGGGGCTCCCCAACCTCACACACTCCCTGCAGGGAACAGCCTGGTGTGCCACATTTGCTGGTCACCCAGCCCCGCCTCCTCCCGAAGCAAGAAGCCTGTAGCTAGGAAGAGGGGGTTAAATCCCTTAGCTCCCGGAAGCTGCATACCCAGGCTGGGCAGGGGCAACCCCAGGGACACACACATGCACCTCTCCTGGCCCCCCTCCCCCCAGCAGGAAGCTGGAGCTAGTGCTCCGGCCTGCAGCTGAGGCTGGAGCCACAGCACAAGCTCTCAGCTGTGCAGGGAGACATGCCATGGGAAAATCGGTTCACGTGCTGCTTGTGGCATGGTTGCCGACCCCTGCCTTAAATCTGCATTTCCCTACCCCAAAAGAGGAAGAAAAATGAGCAAAAAAAATATATATATATA